CTAAGATTTGAGACGAGATCAAGGTTTGAATATTTGAGACAATGGCATTTGTAAATAGGTGTGATCAACGTTAGAGGTTTTTTTTGGCCTTCATATCTCTGTAATGAAACTTTCTTAAAATAGGAAAAAAAGTTCTATGATCCTGTTTAGTCCCTTTAGAGAAAAATATCTATTTGATTCCTCATGCGTAGATTAGGATTTAAATTATCTGGATCGGATGAGTCATGAGTGTAACTTCACTCTTGATCATATATAATATACCACTTGAAGCGTCTAACGCAAGTAAGCATTACCTGTGACTGATTTGGAGTTATCATTTCTTGTGTGATATATGGAGGAAGTTATATCATTCCTCTGAATTTACAAAACATTTCTTTATTTAGTAATGTACACATCATTTCTTTATGTTTTTAATAATTTAATTGCTTCCCCCGTTTTGCTTAATAAAGTATAAATTTAATTGCCTTGATAACATAAGAAAAGATTATTGCCTGCCATGAGAATTGTCCTTGTGTGTTGGTAAGTAGTTTTGTTCAAAAACTTGTATATGTTCCTACAAAAAATTATATTGTTACCATGCATGGTATTTTTTTTTTGTAATATGCATGGGATTTTATTTCTACAAACAATCATTTACTCAGTAATTCTGATTAACATTTTAATAACTAATGAAGCTAAAAAGGAGTTTCCCACCATGAATCTTAATTTGTGTATTATTAAATTTTGCTATATTTTTTCTATTTTTCAAAATGATTTATTGAGCCGCTCTATCAGAAACTCATTTGCTCTCGTATATATATATTCTATCCGGCAAGAACTTCATCATCCCCTCTCCCTCTCTCTCGACTCTTCTCGCAGAGAGTTTCTTTGTTTAACTGCAACTTTCTCGGAAAGTCGCAAGAAAGTTTTATAATCTCCATTGATCGCAACGATGAAGAGGATCTTTTGTTGTTTCAAAGGAGAAAGCTCGGGAACTAACAACAACGGAGACGAAGATGCGCCACGGCCATTTGGTGATAACGAGTTCCTCAACGACGCTTGGCGCAACAATCGCGACATCCCTGACGATCGTCTTCCTCGAGGTACCGTTTAGGTTTCTCTGTTTTTCAATCTTTCTAATTAGGGTTTCTTGTGACACACGCACTCTGTTTCTCACGAGATACTTTCGTTTTACGTGTCAACAACAAGACGTCATCGTATTAGAGTTGTTCTTGTGACGCAAGCTCTCTGTTACTTCGTTGTGAATCACAGCAATTAGGGTTTTATGCAAGTAATAGTTATTAGTTTCGAAACAAGTCTTGATCTTGTGAGCTATGTGATCTCTAACGCCATGTTTTTTGTTTTCTTGTGGCGCAAGCACTCTGTTTCTTAGGAGTTACTTCGTTTTCGAATCACAACCATTAGGGTTTATGCAAGTAATCTTGTGGAATAATCTCGTTTTCTCTTTTCTTGCGCTGCAAGTACTCTGTTTCTTAAGAGTTACTTCGTTTTGGAATCACAGCTATTAGGGTTTATGCAAGTAATCTTATTAAAGTTGCTCTTGTTTTCGAAACAAGTCTGGATCTTGTGGAACTTGCTAATGTCACAAGCGATTGAAAATTAGGGTTCTTGTGTTAATGTTATCTTGCTTTAACTTCAAGTAATCTCATTTGCAGAATCTCCTCGATTATCTCCGCCTCGACGTGCTCATCTCACGTTACGTTGGCAAGAGATCTTAGACGGAACCGAAAACCTCATGGCCACTAACTTGCTCGGTGAAGGCAACTTCGGTCAAGTCTATCGCTGCAATCTCCCAAGACTTGATAAGGTCTAAATCACTTCTTAAAACCCTAAAAGTCATCTCCTTTTTGGTTCAAAACCGAAACCCACTTGCTAAAAATAGTAACTTTGTTTGTGTTTCTTCTTAAACCCTAAAAGTCTTCTCCTTTGCGTTCTCTGCTTTGGATATACATTAGGTTGGAGCTGCAAAGATTCAGAAGGTAGCAAACGAAGAGGCTAAAGCAGAGTTCGTGGCAGAGATCACAACGTTAAACAGAGCTAATCACCCTAACGTGATCACACTTCTTGGAAAATGCGTCACACCCGAGCACCGTGTCATCGTCTACGAGTTCATGCCTAGAGGCTCTCTCGACCACCACATCTATCGTAAGAACCTAAACGAATCTTTGTTTTGAGTTTCGAAAACCGGTTCTCTTGTTCTTAACCCTAACCCTTTGTTTGTAGCTGAAATGAGGCCAGCTGAGGGCTTACAACAAAACGCCTACGCTGTCTTGAACTGGGAGAGGAGGATGAGAATCGCATTGGGTGTAGCCAGCGCTCTGATCTATCTCCACGAGGAGCTAAAGACGGTTCACAGAGATCTCAAGGTTGCTAACGTGTTACTTGATGGGGACTTTGTGCCGAAGCTGACTGATTTTGGACTAGCGACTAGAATCGTTGTAGATGGGAACGGTATTGAGAAAGAGATTGAGATCAGTCCCATCAAGGGAACTCCAGGTTGCATCGCACCGGAGACAGAAGGGTTAGGTTTGGTTTCGAGCAAGTCTGATGTCTACAGCTATGGAGTTTTCTTGCTCACGCTTTTCACTGGAAGGAAGGCTTTTGATCGTGCGAGACCTGATGGTTCAAGGAAAATCAGTGAATGGGTATGGTTTTTAACTCTAGGGTTTAGTTTTTATACTTTTCTTGGTTTGCAAGTTAGTATAAATTTAAAATATGATGCAAGTTTTTATGCGTTTCTTGTGATGAATCTTGTTTTTTTGTTGTTTGGCAGTTGATGTCAGTGTGGAGCAGAGAAGAGTACTTGCCACTGGTTCTTGATACAAAGTTGGGTAATGCGTTCTCGGCTGAAGGGTTAAACAGATTGTTTCAGGCTGCAAGGATGTGTATGGATCCAAATGTACTTGCACGGCCTCATATGCGTTTAGTGGAGACTATGGTTCGTCAAGCTGCAGCTTATGATGTCGTTGAGTTGCCCCCGATGATTATGAGATCTTTGGAGGATATTATGTAGGCTGTTCTTTTTTTTGGTTTTATAACATGAACATATTATATACTTGGATGTGTAACTGAATGATTTTGCACTTGTTTGAGATTTCAGATGAGATCAGTTTGTGAACTTTTGAGATGATGCCATTTTGTAAATAGGTGTTAATGAGCATTTTTTTTGTCTTATTTCTCTGTTTATGAAGCTTTCTTAAAATAGAAGAAAAGAGGAAAAAAAAAACAGAAAGAAAGGTTCTTGCCTTATTTCTCTGTTTAGGCCAATCGTATTATTTGGGCCTGCTGTTATAATTCTAAACGTAAGCTGTTTATTGTCTCATGATTTCTAGTGTTTTGTCCTCTTAAAGATAGAAATTTGACTCCCCCAAAATATACTTGTGAAATGTGTACAATTCACATTTCACAGCTTACATAAACATTATATTTAAATCTATACTTGTGAATGTATAATAAAAAATTATGATGATTTGTCTGATCCAAATAATAATTTACTTGATCCACAATTTGATCAAGGAGTAGACAGGTTTGGACTTCTCTCGAGGCATCGTTAAACCATGTATCCATGATATATTCTCGATTTTCGAATCACGTTTTCTAGGAACCAAATGTTTATAAAATAATAAAATAAAGATGAATTTCCATGAAGTTATTCGAGTTTTTGTAGAAGTCTTTTTATTACTTCTAAAACGAGTCTGTGATATCATGAATATGTATGCAACTGTTTGAGGTTGCACGATCCACCCAAACTAAGTTACATGCATTGTTATTTCTTATTCGTGATTACAACATCTAACGTGACATTTGCCATGGGAGAGAGGTAACCAAAATTTTCAATAGGAGAAATAAATTGTATTGTTTGAATAGAATCTTATAAACTAACTATATAGTGTATAACGATAGAAGTTAATGCTTTTGGGCCACTATTGCCTCCCCCATTTTCTTTTTTGCAATGTCATTTCAAAACTTTGGATATAAATTTGGAAAACTAAAATTATGTAGTCGGTGGTAGAACACGTTTGAGCTTGATATCGAATATGTAAGTAAATATTATTACAATCTTCCACATAGAAACGACAAAGTTTTAGATGATTGACAAGATCCAAGAGATAAAGTCCAAGCGATCATATATATTCTTTGATCAAACGCATAGTTCAAATATATGAACAGTTATCATTTCTAAACTCGCCCGGGCTTTTAAATCCGTTTGTCTCTCCGGTCAGATGGAACTAAACCGGACTAACCCGATCTATATTAAACTGGTAGGAACAATACCAAAGAAAGGTCTAATAAGAGGTCAAAGTAAATATAGTGCTAGCATATACCAAAACACTTCAAGAAATTGCTAGGCGATTAGGCGGTAACTAAACATTTTATAAAAAAAACAGGTGATTAGAAGGTTTATTCACGGTTTGATCGTTAACAAATTATTAATTTATTGTATATTTTGTTGTATATATATTTTAGATTTTATTTAAGATATTTTAATTTTAAATTTCTTTATAAAATTACTTTCATAAATTAACAAAACTAGATATATAAAACAAAAGAAATCAGGCACATTTGTGGATTTGTACTAACATGGTTGTTTAATTTAACAGATTTAAATCGATTTAAGTGGTAAAAATTGTTTCGGTTAAGACTAATTTGCGGTTATTTAAAACCATGACCAAAACTATATGAATAATTCAATCCCACTGTACATGTTAACCTATTAATTCAATTATACTGTACATGTTAACTTATTAAACTCAAAGAGTGTACCAGTGGTGTATATTTTTGTTTATGATAAAAGAAAGAGAGCACATGGAAGCAATGATCTAAAATAAATCTCTATCTGCAAAAAAGAGACACAAAACAAAGCAACTTTTTCTTCAGTTTCCTTTTTAAAATCACTTTTTTTCTAAACACACTCGGGCCATAGCAACTGTATTTGTATTTTTGTATAACCTCAGATCCAAAGCCCCCTCTCACTTCTTCTTGGATTCTGATTTGCATTTTCCAACTCTCTCCATCTTTCTTTACTCTTTCTCTTTCCCAAGAAAACCAAAAAAAAAAACAAATTTCCAGAATTTTCTTTGTCTCTTTCTTCACTCGAAGTGAAGATTGTTGTTGTTATCTCCCTCTCTTGTTTCTCTTCTTGTCTCAGTCTTTAGATATTTCACTCCTAAAAAAAACAAACTCTTCGCTAAATTTTCCCGCGAAAAATTCTCTTTTCTTACTTTTTTTTCCCGGAAAATCGTAAGTTTTCTTTTCCTCGAGAAAGTTTGAGACTTTACTTCTTTTCAATGGCGTCAAGAGAAGTATCAACGATGATCAAACACGGGTTCATCGCAGATCCTTCTCTTTCTTTCTCCCCGTCAAGAACGGCCAAACTCTCCTCCGCCGCCGTCTCCTCTCCTCCTCCACCGTCTCCTCCTCCGCCGCCGCCGGCAAACGAGTCGTCAACTCACTCAAACCCGACCCTTTTCGACATGATGTCAGAGGAGCACCACCGCGAGCCACCGCCGCGTAGGAAGTCACACTCTCACGCGCGTGTGACTCAGATCATGGCTGAGTTCAAGAACGACGTCGTTTACGGCCCCAGCGACGTTAAGCTGACGGTAGTTGGAAAAGACGGTTACAGAGTCACCATGGATGTTCACAAGAAGGTTTTGTCTGATAAAAGCAGGTTCTTTATGGTGAAGATGAGTTCAAGAAGAGAGAAAGGAGTTTCTCATATGGTGGAGATTAGTGAGTGTGATGACGTGGAGATCTATGTAGAGACTGTTGTCTTGATGTATTGTGATGATCTCAAGAAGAAGCTGATTGGTGAAAACGTCGTCAAGATCTTGGCTTTGCTTAAGGTTTCTTCCGCTATCTCGTTTGATGAGGGAGTGACGTCATGTTTGGAGCATTTAGAAGCTGCTCCTTGGTCGGAAGATGAAGAGGAGATCGTTGTGTCATGTCTTGAAGAGCTTCATCTTCCTTATGATGTTGATTCAGTCTCTTTGATTCTTCAGAGAGTTTCATCTGAACCGAGGAAAGGTGGAACCGATGATGAGATCTTCTTGAAGCTACTCACTGGTGTACTAAAGGCTAAGGATGATAAAGCTAGACGAGAGATGAAGGTTGTGATCTTTAAGTTGATTAGAGAAGAAGCAGACGTTGAAGTCTCTAAAGAAACTCTCTACGGTTTGTGTCATCGTTGTCTCACTTCCCTTGTCCTTTGCTTATCTGAAGTGACCACGCAGATGTTAGATCCAGGGCAAGACCGTGGAGCTCTCATGGGAGAGATCGCTAGAGAAGCTGATAACATGTTGTGGATGGTGGATATACTGATTGAGAAGAAGATGTGTGATGAGTTTGTGAAGCTGTGGGCGGATCAGGAGGAGCTGGCGGAACTTCATTCAAAGATACCTACAATGTATAGGCACGAGATAAGCAAGATCACTGCGCAGATATGCGTTGGGATTGGTAGAGGGAGGATCTTGGTGAATAGGGAGACTAGGTTTGCGGTTTTGAACACGTGGTTAGAGGCTTTGTATGATGATTTTGGGTGGATGAGAAGGGTATCGTCTAGGTCTCTTGATAGGAAGCTTGTGGAGGATGGACTCAGCCAGACGATTTTGACCTTGTCGTTGAAGCAACAGCAGGTGATTCTGATGAAGTGGTTTGATAGGTTTTTGAGTAAAGGTGATGATTGTCCAAATGTTCAGCGAGCCTTTGAGGTGTGGTGGAGAAGAGCTTTCATAAGACAGGTTATGGTAGAGCCGGATGCATCAAAGCTGCAGATAACACTCTATGACTAATAACTCAAAATAGAATAAGATTGTTGTTACCTTCAAAATGTTATATCTTTTGTCTTTTTTTTTTGGTTGGTAAACTGTTACTGTTTTGTGACTTTCAAAAGATTCAAAAGAAAATGCCTCAGATATTTAGTGTCTAAGCAATGAAAAGAACAGAACAGAGCAGAAGAAATCTACTATGTTCTGAAAGCGTGAACTGTCTTTTCAAGAGATGATTGGATCAGCACCATAGTTCAGCTTGGGCAGATCTTCAGTTCTAGTCCTGTTGATCAAAGATTTAAAGCAGAGTTAGTTTCATTAAGGATGAATACTAATAAGCTTAAGCACATGTTTAACCTCTACATGGTTTTCTGAATAAAAGAAGGGATCATGAAACTAGATGAGACGTCAAATGCTAAATCTCTAGAAGCCGGTAAATTGGTATTAGCTGAAACGATTGCTTAAAATTCTATTTATACGATTCAAATCGGTTTAAACCGTTATAAATTGGTTTAGAAAACAGAGAGGAATGGTGGAGAATCTTACTTTTGGAGGACTTTGAGTATTCCGGTTCCGAGTTTCATTGGTATGCCCATAATCACACACTCTGTGACTCCCTCTATGTTATCAACTTTCCCGCTAATTGCTGCACTAAATAAATGATCTCCAGTCCTCTCAAAAGATGCCTGCATCAGCACACTCTTGTCCATCTTCTGTATCCCGGTTCTTTGTATACCAAGCACCTCCCCCTAAATCAAGAAATTGATAGTAAATGACAGTAATTGGCAAAAAAAAGTTACTAATAACAGATTTTCAAGTATCCTTTAGAACTGACCCGGTAAGTCATGACATCAGCCAAAAGCATCATGTGACGAATGTCTATACTCATTCCATGGTTTCCCATAACTGACCCTATTTCATCAATAATTGTTGTCCTTGCAGCCTCAATCCCCAGTGTTTTGCTCACTTCGACAATATTGTTGCTTGTAGTAGTTCTCCCATCGACTCCCGGAGTCCCCATTACAGCCAGAAGGTTTGTTCTGAAAACATATACCAAGCCAAAAGAATGATCACAATCTAGGATAACGAAGGACAATATCATCTCATGAAGCTCGAGAAATCTTACCCTTCCACAAACATTTTCAACCTTTTCTTCCCATCTACCTCTTTATTTTTATCATCCTGTGCTATAACAACACGCTCAACTGTTTTGATCCCATTCACTATAACATTTGGCAGCACATTCTTCAGGTTGTGGAGAGTGAAATGAGTCGTGTCTGAATCTCCCTTTGGGATAATATCTAATCCTGAATCTAAGACCCTGATATTCTGCACAAATTATATTGCAAAGAGACTTAGTTAAGACCTGTATGCACCACAATGAATACATTAAATAACATAATCTAATGATCTTACCTCATCCTGCAGTTTGATTCTGGTCTTTAGTATGGCATTTTTAACCGACCAGGGGGATATAGACAAAAACGCCTCCTCGATTATCTTCTTGTCGAGAGTTATTCTCACTGACGCTGATGTTGATGTCATTAGCACCTCGATACTCTCAGCAACCTGATCCAAATTCAAGTGGACTTTGACAATCTGATTGGTAAAAAGAGAGAGTTTCCTAACAAGAAGGTGCTAGATAAAATGCCAGGAGTTTGCAATATGAACCTGTCCTAAAGTAGTTTTTTCGATGCGCCCTTTGGCCATTCGTGCACTAGCCTCTACCAGGGGGTTCTCAAGTTCTGCAGAGATGACAGGTGTGCTTATAGTTTTGGTAGCATTTATGATTTCGTTGATTCGAGGAACTCCCTGGGTGATATCTGAAGCCGATTCAGGAAATCAAACAACTAACTAACTATTCATGATATGGCCTCATAAGAACTAGTTATGTAGCAAAATTAATGAAATTAAGTATATTCAAAAAGGATACTCATGCTAGCAACTCCAGCAAAGTGAAAAGTCTTCAGAGTCATTTGTGTCCCTGGTTCTCCGATACTCTGAGCTCCTATTGGTCCAATTGCAGTCCCAGGTTCAATTGTTTTCCCTCGGTATCGAGATACACAAATTTTTACAAAAACCTGCATGCTTACATATATCAGAGGAAATTTTTACTAATGCACTGAGTATTCTTTTGAAAGTTACCTCGAGTTGCTTATCGGTCACACCAGATCCTTTAGAGAAAATCTGGCTGGGGCTTGCAGACTTTACTCCGAGCTTACAAACAAACCCTCGAAGAGATTTCACAAAGGCGTCAGTGCAAACCCGGCTTGTATCTTGCCTGACCAATTCCTCTTCGAACCTTTGCGGCAATTCTTCTGTAGAAAGATAAGTGTGATGTGATCTAGGAGGACAAGTGGCCTGCAAAATGCAAAAATAACAATTAGTATGATGAAAATCTAGATAAATAGAGACCAAAACCAATAGAAAAAAAAAATCACCTGAACTTTCAGAAATAATCTATCGAAATTTAAAGGCGTTCCATCTTTTCCTTCCATTAGTGCTGGGTCCATCCCATCATCCCCATAAGTAAACTGAAGTATGCATCCGCTGGCGTTTCGCACCGTGTGATCATAGTGGACTAAGAGATCCTCCAAGGCTTTCATGAGTCTACGAGACATGTAACCTGTACTAGCAGTTTTCACCTGCAATTATTACAGAAAAAGGTGAAGCTCCTCCATTTTCAGCTCTCTTTCAACAAGATGGAAAAAACAAACAAAGGATATATGCTTACCGCTGTATCAACTAGACCTTCTCGTCCTCCCATAGTGTGAAAGAAAAACTCTGTGGCACTAAGGCCGTCGTAGAAAGAATGAGCAACAAAACCTTTAGCCTGCAAATGTCAAGAAGAATTGAGATAAGGGCTCCTCCTATAGAGTGGTGGCCAAGAAGCCTACTACAGATTGATCAGTGGCGAGGCAAATAGCTGTTTTACTTACTTCAGGTGCTCTGGACATTCTAGGGAAATGAGGAAGACTTCGATCAATAAATCCATCAGGAGCACGGCTACCATTAACTGTCTGCTGACCAACACATGTAACCATCTGACTGATATTGATTGGGGATCCCTTGGAACCACATTGTGACATGATCAAGGGACTGTTTCTCCAATGTAATCCTTCCATACAAAGCTGTACAAAATGAAGCATTAGTATCTTAGTAAATAGTAAATCACAACATATGTTCATGCCTAAGGGGAAATGGAAGTTACGCATTCACCTTCCCAGTCTCTTCTCGAATTTTATTAAGAGCACTTGTTAACTCGTTTTCCAATGTTTTTGCCGCATTTAGACTTCCTTTTTCATATATCTTAATTAAGTCATCGCAGGCTTTATATCCTTTATCGACTATTTCTTTTCTTTCCTTTTTCAACTTTTCTCCAGGTTGAACGTCATCAATCCCAATGGAGAAGCCATGAATTCCAATCCACCTAGCACTGCACAAAACAAGAAAAAAGAAGAAGAGAGCTACCAATTAGCCAAAGAAATTAGGGGAATTCTAATTTTACCACAAATTTGATACCACTTTTCAAATTTATAACTATTTTCATAAATATCTTAAGTTTGTGATGAAAAAGAAGTCTAACTTAACCCTCTTACATCATTTATAAAATTTTAAGAATTATTTATAGAAGTTTATCTATTCATTTCTCGGGTTCAGGTCTACTCAGTAGGTGCTTTTGGGTTTCAATTCTTTCGGAGAGAGGAGTTTTGAACCTAACTAAGTATTTATTCAAAAAAAAACTAAGTATTTATAAATTTTTGGTGCGGCTTCGGATCTGATATTTTCGGTTTGGTTTTGGGTTCAGATTTTCGGATCCGAGTAGAATGCCCAGGCCTAATCAGAAGAGACCCATATGCAGAAAAAACGGACTCACCTCAATTTTGCTAGACGATTCATGCAGACTGCAGCAGCATGGGAGTTGTAATCTCGAAGAAGAATTGAATATAGTCCATCCTTGCTTCCATTTCCTGAAGGGAAAATATCAAATGCTCAAAATAAAGTCCAGAATGAACAGTTAATAATCTAGTGCACTTGCAACATATTGCATTATTCCAACTTCAACCTACCTAACGTAGCCTTCCCCAGTTGTCCTGTTATTAGCTCACTATTTCGAAAATAGACCCATCCATCATTTGTGCACATTGTTTCATCATAATGTTCGCTCTTCTTGAAGTTCTTCTCTTTCACATTAAGAGTTACGTAGACTCTCACACTTGCATTTGGACGCAGCAAAACATTAAAAACCTGTTTACCTGTCCATAGCTCTATTGGCTGCATCAAAAGTAACACCCGGATAAGATACCCAAATACAAGTAAAGAAACTGTAGAAAAAATAGCACTTATTTAACTAAACCGTATGACAGCAAAAAGTCCATACCTTAAGGATTGTGGGTGTGGGCAAATCTATGGAATCCATGGCGTCTCCCATGTAAGAACATATAAGTGAAAAGGCTGCACGGTCATAAAATGTGTCCTTTCTCGTTATCAAATAGGAAGTTGTCAAAAAATCCTGTGTTGATGCTACTAACATTTCTCCATTTTTTGGGGTGCATAAATTGTTTTGTACCTGAAATACAAAACCAAAAGAGAAAGCATATTAATATGGCATAAAGAGAGTTAACATGTAGCCAACAAATGATTTGACTATCCCAAGAAACTTGATATGATGCTAAGTAAAAGAAAAAAGTACCCCCATCAATGTAATAGCCTCTGTGCGAGCCTCCTCTGTTTGTGGCACGTGCATGTTCATCTCATCACCATCAAAATCAGCATTATATGGGTTACAAACCGATTCGTTGAACCTCAATGTTCTCCAAGGCATAATTCTTGCCTGCGGAGGAACAACAAAATGCAAAAATTAGGATTACTATAAGGGTTGTAACAGAAAAGTATGAC